TCCTTCAAGAAATCCGTGCTCCCCCCCCCCCACTTCCTTGCATCTTAGGGAGTATGGGCTTGTCTCTCTCGTGGGTATTAATTTATTTTTATTTATTTCATTAGCCTCCTTTCTACCTTGCTGAACTCAAGGCAAGTTACGATATAAATAAATCAGTTATTAAAAACAAGACAAAATACCACAATTAAAAATCTCAGTACTGACCTATTTAGGTCTACTATGTGGCACAACCCATATACAGAGAAAGACTTTGAGAAAGTTGCAATCCTCCTTGTAAAAAGGTTTCCCCTTGCTCGAAAGCCAGTCGAATCCGACTCTAGGGTTGCGGTACTCATCTCCGTTTCAAAGCCGAAGTGCTGTCCGAAGACATTTCCGTGGTCATGTGGCCGGCATGACTAAACATGTTGGATATTGTAACTCTACATCTGGGAGGGAAAGGGTGAAGAGAATATTCTCTCTCTCTCTCTCTCTCTCTCTGGGGTACACTTGGCAGTTGCCCCTCGTCTCATCGGTTTAGATGTTGAGCCTTGTTGGCCCTCGCTTGCCTTCTGTTTCACCTTATACAGCCGGAAGGAGGGAACCCCAAAGACCAGCACCAGAAAGGACGCCGCTGACTACCGCCTGCAAGAACAAGACAACAACCAAAGATCCGCCGCAAAAAAGGGTGCCTGGTAGGGTAGTCACCACCCCTGTATGTCTGTGGCCCTAGGTTAGATTCTGTAAATGTGATTAGCACCCTCTGTAAGCCGCCCAGAGACCCTTAGGGGTTAGGGCGGGATAGTAAATCGAATAAATAAATAAACAAATAAATAAATATAGGACCTCTCTTCTTCTCTCTTACTTGGGCTTGGAGCTGCAGCACATTAACCTTTTTGAAGTGAATCAGCACACAGTAAATTAAATGTACCTACAGGAATATACTTTTGTAAGTAAAATTTCTTTCTCTTGTTACTGTTGGAGTCAGATCATCTTTGTGATTTGTTTGAACAGCGTTTTCCCCTTAACTGGGAAACGTGGAGGATCGGGGATACTGGGTAAAAAGCTTCTGTGCTTCCAAGGCAAATGTTTTTTTTTTTTTTTTAACATTTAACCCAGTATTACAAACCTGGGGAGGGAGAAAAGCCAAGGTGTTCCCTTTCCTGTAAGATGAAAACCTTGGTGGTTTACTGTCCCTGGAGCCTGAAGGGGAGGGGAGGTTAATGGGTGCAGGAGTGGTGGCAGCAGCCCCTCTGAGAGGTGGCGCCATCTCCCAGGGCAGGTTGTAACAGGAGAGCTGGCTCTTCGCTACGAATTCAGTTGCTTGGTATCTAAGATGCTAATAAGACGGTTTCCTGGAAAGTGTGCAGCACAGTATCTCACTGTTGCCTGAGTTATACGTGGTCTATAGTGGATTTTTTTCAGCCTTTTGGCCGTAATGTCTAGTGACTTGTATTTGGGTAGAAAGGTCATATCTGTGAGTACCTTTGCAAATTTCCTTTATGAAGTCAATGGATTTCTTCCTCATATGGTTAAACGTGGCACATTTTGTGGAAATAATTCTAGAGCAGTGATGGCGAACCTTTTAGAGACTGTGCCCAAACTGCGACCCAAAACCCAGTATTTATTGCAAAGTGCCAACACGGCAATTTAACTTAAATACTGAGGTTTTACTTTAGAAAAAACAACCCATACATTAAGTTAAGATGATCCAAACAAAGTAAAGAAAGCAATCCCAAAGGCTTTCATTTACTTAAAATTATTTGGCAGAGAATTCGACACTTTAATGACGGTCTGGGCCTGGCTGGGGTGATGGCACGTGTGCCCACAGAGAGGGCTCTGAGTGCCACCTCTGGCACCCGTGCCATAGGTTCGCCACCACTGTTCTAGAGGACTAGATGTGTTTGTTGGTTGACACCCCACTGAACAGGCCTCAAGACTTAACACATATTTATTCTAGCATCAGCTTCCATGGGCCAGAATCCACTTCATTAGATGCTTGAGGTGGCCAGTAGGCAAAATAACTATATAACAGAGCCTACTGATTATTTGCTGCCTTCACTCCGTCATGGGTAACAAGTCATAACACAGTAAAACATCTGAGGGACTGTAATTCTGTTGTGCAAGTTCTTTGTTCTTCCAGTTGTAGCATGGTTTTGTTTTTAAAGAGGTGGCAATCTCTTCAGGAAGCAATAGAATTCCTGTGTATTTCAATTAAGGAAACAAATGAAGTGGCAGTTGTGCAGGAGGACAATGCAATTAAGGCCTTATTTAAAGATAGCCATTTCCTGATCTGAATATCCAAGTCACTGTTTTGTATAATATTGCACCTTGAATTCGATCAGGAACGGGCTTTCCGAGGAGAAGAGTTTTAAAGAAGAGAGGTTCCTGATGGTATAAGATGTGCAGTTTAATTTTTGTAACGCCTAGCCTGAGGAAGAGTTCTGATGAACTGGGAAGCTCGCACAATGTTTAGTGCCATTTTAGTTGGCCCTAATAAAAGATATTACATGGATTTTATTTCTTGTTCTGGATTTTGGGTGGACCAGTACAGCTGTTTACAGGTTCTTTTCAGTATGATGGTGACCTCTCAAAGGGGAGGGTATGGCTTTTATGGTAAAGCAGCAAGGCTTAACTCTTCTCTGTTTCAGCTGCTTACTTTAGTGCAGAGTTACTTTAGTTTAAGGAGCTGCGGTGGCTCAAGTGGTTAAGACGCTGAACTGCAGGCTGTGGAAGGTCAGTAGTTCAGCGGTTCAAGATCCGGGTGCCCGGGTGCCGCAAGACGGGGTGAGCTCCTGTGTCTAGTTCCAGCTCCTGCCAACCTAGCAGTTCGAAAGCAAGAAATTGCAAGTAGATCAATAGGTACCACTTCGGTGGGAAGGTAACAGCGTTCTGTGCGCCTTGGTGTTTAGTCATGCCGGCCACATGACCACGGAAACGTCTTCGGACAGCGCTGGCTCTTCGGCTTTGAAACGGAGATGAGCACCGCAACCCTAGAGTCGGATTCGACTGGCTTTCGAGCAAGGGAACCTTTACCTTTACCTTTACTTTAGTTTAATCCCTGTGAAGTAAACTCTGTATAGGCTTGCATTGTTGCTTTCTTCCTAGTGTTTTGACTTGTAGGGACTCCAGCTGTTTTGAAACTTCGCCATTATGTATTTTTTTCTGGAGACTAGGAAACAATTTGATGATCTCTGTCCCTAGTTCCCATTTTCCATGTTGTCGGAGCCAGGTGGCTTTATGTATAAATTCGGGTTTGTTTTTTCAGGGTTAGGTTATATATTAGAAATTAATATGTAAATAGGGTCATCATTTTCCTATAGCTGTTTTCAGCTGTCAGTTTAAAAAGCTAGCATAAACAAGTACATAACTAGTTAGCTCAGACCAGATCAACAGGAAATGTTTTTAAACACTGAGAGAATTTTAAAAGGGTAGGAAGGAACGAATCAAACATGTTTTATACCCAAGAAATACACTACTTAGTATAATGAAGAGGAACTACTTAAAAATGGAATTATTTCTTCAGCATAAACTCGTCTGTGATAATGCCTTCAAGAAATAGGTGTAATAACTTACAGTTGAAATATCATTGATACTGAATTAGCATTTTATGCATGCAGAGAAATAAGCATTCTGTAGGCGTACACATGGAGCTTTTTTCTGCCCAGTGATGAGGGTTTTTGGGTTTTTTGGGGAAGAATTGAGTCTGCCATTCAAAGGAAGTGATAGGAAAATGTGTGGATACTAGATATATTGTCAGAATCCAGGAATAATCATAGATGGGATTCTTGAGTTTTCCATAGGAGGGGTGTGTGTGCGCGTGCGTACGTTTTCTAGTCTCTGGAAAGGGTCTGGAAGTGGTACTCAGATGATGATGATATCAACACATCTTGGTATATCAGATTTAGAGAGAAGGGCCCCTGTCTGTAAGTAATCTGGATTTACATAAATGTTTTGGGGTATCTGTAAGAACACTTCAGTAGTCCCAGTATCTCCAGATCAGAATTTAAGGAGTATGTCCATTCCTACATGTTAGTAAGGTGAATGATTTGACCTATAAAACCAGTATATTCTCCAGTTCCACCATTGTTTCAAAACAGAAATAACTATAATCTCTCCCTATGCAGATGTCCTGTTTCCTATTAGCCTTGTAGAAATGTAACACAACTTTCTGCTTTATTAACGTGTTGCCCCACTATTTTTATGGTGCCTGTCTGCTGCAATTGGAATTGAATGCATGGCAGTGCTTTCTCTTATTAGATGGGTAGGGTGGGGAGTCCAGTAGAGAAGGTGTTATTTGTGGAATGACCATTACAGAATTCTCTGTTCCAGAAGTCTTTGGTCATGTTTAAGATAAGAGCCAGGGTTTCCTTTCTTTAAGCATTTGTATGTCAAAATGATCTTGAAAAAAGCACCAAGGTTGGATCTATGCAGTTAGGAGCAAGGTTGATTCTCTGAGGTTAGGATCGTCAGGTGTAAGATGCCAGCCTGGCCCCAATGCCACCACAAAAATGTATGCTTTTATTTTTTAAGATGCGGTTGCTTGGCATTCATTCCCATTGGAAAGCAGTCAAGTACTGCACAGTCCTACGGAGCTGACAGGTACATTATGCTTCCATGGGCTTACTGCATTAGCGCCTTTCCCTCCACACATATTCAAACATGCATCTCATCGTAATGTTGAACATCTTGCCAAAGTTATGTAAGGAGCCATCAGATATCATGGGGGGAAGACTTTTGAGCTGAATTTTGTTTTTCCAATGCAGAGCTTTGAGAGCTCATCAGAATTATAGTATTATTTTTGAGCTTTGTTAAATACAAAAGAGTGGGCTAAAAGCATACAAATCATTCCTGTCCTCCTGGGGCCCAGTAAAACATCACAATAAGCACAAGAGGATATCCAATATCTTCCTTGACATGGTGAGTTTTGATCTGGTGAGGTGGAATTTTGCAGGAGTGTGGTCAAGAGCGTATTATGTATGCTGCACACAGGAAACTATCATCGACTGTCTCCTTGTTTGCAGGTTGCTCAACAATAGTTATGAACTCGCGGCTGCGAGCACTAGGTGGAAGAATAAATAACAGTCGAATCGCAGAACTACCAAAAGAACGAACACGATCTGAGATCATCTGCAATGTCCACTTTCTGGATAGCTCCGTGCAAAACTTCAAAGTTAGCGTAAGTCTTGAAACTTTTTTTCTGAACTAATTCATGTAATGTGTTCATGATCTGGACTATTTTCATTGTGATCTAGCCCAGTTATATACTGCAGCCAAGGTGTGTATGACTAGAAATTGCCTTCCAAACAGTAGTGACATAATAGGATTTCGGGTCACAATCACGTACTAACTTGCCAAACAGGTACAGTGACCAAAGGTTCAAATTGTTCAGAAGGAAAAAAAAAGTCTATTTCCCTTCTGTACAAACAAACAAATACAACACCTTTATTGGCATAAAATCCTTCTGTAACTTATGAAGCTGACTTATACATTGAATACTTCTCTGCTAAGTACTAACATATATATTTATCACAATCCAGTTTCAATGTATTTTGTTTCATGAATTTATCTTCTGAGGTTTTCAGATTTGATATTTTTCTGAGCATTTTGATGTAAATTGGTTTTGTTCTGTTAACCTTTTTATTGTTGTAGAATACATTCAGTATACATTCAAAATCAAATTTGTAAATTGAACTTTGCAGTCTAATAGCTACGAGTGGCCCCACCATGTGAATCAGAATTTCATGGAGAGGGTACAGAACGAGGTATATCTTTCTGCAACCCAAAGGTAATCTTCTGGTTTGCATAAAAATACTAAAAAGTTGAAAACTTATTGGGTTAACACTCCCCCTCCCAAATAGTAGCTAACCCCCCCCCCACATCTTGTGTTGCCTGAAAAGGGTGTTCAGGTTTGTTTGTTTTTTTAAGTAGGGATTGGGGGCAGTCAAGGAGGTTGGGGAGGAGGGTGGAAAATGATTGACTGTATATTGGGGAAGGAGGGTGGAAATGGGAGATGTGTTAGGTGGGCAAGAGGGGAACAGTCCGAATAAGAGTAGCGGAAGCAGGGACCCCTGGGTGTAGATGGGATTTCTTATCCCTCACAGGATTTCTTGTCCATCACAGGTCCTCTTATATTTCCTAATACATAATTACATAAATCTTTACATAGCAACCTTAATATAAAAATGTATCATGCAAGATGAAGCTTTAAGTCTTAAAATGAAAATAATCTATATTAAAGAAAAGGTCATGTATTGTATGAATTAATATTATTTTTGAGCTTCTCTTCAGTATTAAGGTATAGGATTGCAGGTCATCAGATTATTTATTTATTAGATTTATATCCAGCTCTCCCCCACTAACGTGGGGCTCAGTGTGGGTAACATCATATTATAATCAATAAATACAATCAGGATATGAAGTGAAACATTTTAAAAATTGAACAGTTAACACATAAAAACAATACAGTGTTAAACTAATCAGATGGTGCAATACCATCATACCACTCTGGATTATTCCAATCATACCATGCCAGACTGGGGGGGGGGGGAAGAAAAGGGGAGGCCTAATTTAGATGGATTTTTCCATAAATCTCAGCTGTAAGCTTGGTGGAACAGTTCCATTTTGCAGGCCCCGTGGAACTGTTTCAGGCCCCTCAGAGCCCGGATCTCAGCTGGAAGGGCGTTCCACCAAGCTGGAGCAATGGCTGAGAAGCCTCTAGATTTAGTTGAAGCCAGTCAGATAGTCTGTGGGCCTAGGATCACCAGTGTTGGTATGTGATGAGTGCAGTGCTCTTTGGGGTATGCCAGGAGAGGCAGTCCTGCAGATATGCTGGTCCCAGACCATATAGGGCTTTAAAGGTTAGAACCAGAACCTTGAACTTGATCCGATATGCAATCTGGAGCCAGTGCAGCTGGCAGAGCACCAGTAGAATGTGGGCTATAGCTGGAGTTCCTGTAAGAACATGAGCAGCTGCATTCTGGACCAGTTGAAGTTTCCAGGTCAGTCTCAAGGGCAGCCCAAGTTACAGTAGTCAAGTCTGGAGGTGACCATTGTATGGATAACTGAGGGTAGGTGACAGGAAGCGAGATAGGAAGGGAGCCAGTTACCTAGCCTGGCATGAGTAAAAGAATGCCAGCCTAGCGATGTTTGTGATCTGGGTCTCCATTGATAAGGAGGCATCCATGACCCCACCCAGACTCCTCATTGTTAGTGTTGGAGTCAGTGGCGTGCCTCCAAGAGTTGGGAGTTGGCGCCCTAACCTGAATCTCCCTTCCCCAGCCACAGGAACTCTGTCTTTGATGGATTTAGTTTCAGCTGGCTTTGTTTCAACTACCCAGTCACAGCCTCCAATGGCTGCCTCCTGGGGCAGTGTCCGGTCGGCTGTCCATCAGCAGATACAGCTTGGTGTCATCTGCATATTGGTGACAACCCAGCTCGGAACTCTGAGCCAGATGGATGAGGGGGCACATATAGACGTTAAATAACATTGGGGAGAGGATAGCTTCCTGAGGGACACCACATACCAGTGGATATCTAGGAGAGACCACCTCCCCTAGTGCCACCCTCTGTCCCCGACCTTGGAGAAAGGAGACAGACCACTTCAAGGCTGTCCCCTGAATCCCCATGTTAGCCAGGCGGTGCGTCAATAGATTGTAATCGACCGTGTCAAACACTGCTGTCAGATCTAATAACACCAGCAGTGCTGAACCTTTTTTTGAACCGCCTCGATCCTGGTGCCTACAGGGATCGTCCGTGAGGGTGACCAGTGCCATCTCCATCCCATGGCTGGGGCGGAAGCTGGACTGGAATCGGTCCAGAGCTGATGTGCCCTCCAGGAATGCTTGGAGTTGTTCTACCACCACTCTCTCAACTACTTTGCCCAGGAACAAGAGAGTCGACACTGGGTGGATAGTTGGTCAGATCCACAGGATCTAAAGATGGTTTCTTTAATTTAAACTCCCTTGTAAAGTCCTAATTGTTCAAAGGGGCATTTTTGACTCTAGTTGGCTTGACGGGTGAATTTTAAGAACTGCTGTGATACATGTGAAGAACTTGAAACATTTTAAAGGGCTATATATAACTGCTAAGTATTATTCTTATTTAGATATTCATGTTTGTCAAAGATAGTCGTTAACATATTTCCTTCTGATTGGTGCAATTCATTTGAGACATTTCCAGGGCCCCTAAAACCCAGTCTAGCTATAGTTCAACCCCAGCTCCTGTGTCTGGCATTATCTGTCCTGTTTATGCCCAAGACGAAGATGCAGTTTCACAGACCCAAGAAAGATAAGGAATGTGAACGCTGTTCATCTGTGGCTGATTCTGCATTGGCTTTTCCCTCCGTTGTTTTACGAAATTCCCTTCTGAATTGCGTGCTGCTTTCACTTCGTTTGATCATCTAGCTTCCACAGTCCATGCCGCTTTCACTTTCATTGATCATCGGATTTTATGGTACCTTCTGCATAGATTTATGGCTGTTCAAGGGTAACTTTGCAGTCAGTACGGCGTTGCCCTGGGGTATTTGAATGTGGTTTTCAGCTGGACTTTTCCCTCCGTCGAGAAAATGTGGAGCGAATGCTGGTGAATCTGGGAAGTATTGACTCCTTACAGTCACCAGGACTAAAGTGCAAGACTTGTCCTAGCCAACATATAGGTGATGTCATGATCAGGCTAAGCATGTGCCATTATGACTTCAGATGTGTTCCATGGCAACCAACATGATTGTGTTCTGGCCTACTTCAGAAACTGAGGTTATTGACCAGTACACTGTGGAAATGATTTATTTCACATGGAGGGCCTGATAAAAATTTTTTTGCTGGACTACTTGACAAATAAAAATAGACAGGAAGGGTAAGTATTTGGGTTTTGTAGTGTTGTGTGCCCTATGAATAAAAAAGGCAGTGTAATTGTCAGCTTTGAAGACAACTTGTTAGACTGTGTTTGCTTCAGAAGAACCATATTGATGTATATTCCTGTACTGCTAACAAATTTTGAAGGATTTCTTTAATCTTAGAAGGAGCTTTGATACCCCAGCATTGTTGTCTGTTCTTTGATAAGGCCCCAGTCGCATTTATTTATTTATTAGTTATATTTATATTCCGCCTTCCCCGCGAACAAGCTCAGGGCGGCTCACATTTGCCGGCGTAACATAGCTGGTTAGCATAAAACATTTAAAACCAGTTTGTTCTGTTTATCCACTTTATATTCCATCTTTCATGAGCTTGCACTTGTAGACTTCCCATCTATTTTTCCTTTACTATCAAGGAAAATTGGCAGTCTACTTAATATATCTGCAGGGAAAAAAGTTCAGAATTTCCCCCTGCTGGTTGTCTAAGCTATCAATCCACCACTGTATGTTGTTCATTATGTTGATTTTTTTGGAATTGTGATTTTATTACTTAATAATACAGCTCCATCGACTGACAAGGTGCTTTGAGATACATAAGCAGACATACCCCTGCCTCAAAGGAATTTATGGAGGAAGACGAGGGAACTTCAAGAAGAGACAAAAGCATAGCCAGGATTGAAAGGGAGCAGGCTGGGTCCACCCTGTAGGAAAATCAGGCAGTGGTCATTGGACTTTACAAATCTAAATGGAAAACAAGAGGAGTATTAATAGTAGCATTTATTTCTCTGTGCTCATTGTCACACTCTTCATCCAAATCCTGCCTCAAAACCCAGAGCCGTCTCTGACTGGTGGCGGCATGGACACAGGTGCTTAGGCGTAGCGGTTGTCCTAGGCCCCAATGTTATTTTTGTTTATGTTTCTGAACCACCGTACAGCGAAAGGTTTTCTAGTGCCCCGACAACTTCAAGTAGTTGTCCCAGGCCTCTCTGGTCATAGTTTGCTTCCTCTGCTAAAGTTTGTTTTTATTTCGCAGTTTGTATTTTGCTCCCTAGCAGTGTTCTGCAGTTTGAAAATCCTTTGGGGCGTTATGGATAGGTTTCAAAATGTTAACACATGCTTTGGGTAGTGATTATGTGGGTTTGTCGCTGACGCATCATTGACTGTCATGTCGGGAAATCCTGACACAACTCATGGAAAAGCATAATGTGACAATGTCCCTTCCTTTTTTTTAAAGTGTTCGTTTCCAAGGAAGGCCCAGTGGGGTTTTCTCTCAGTCTGTATGTAAATCTTTGAACAATTGCAGTTAATTCAGGCTTCAGTAGAACTGA